ATCAGGGACACAGGACAGGGGTCAGGGAATGCAGGACAGGGATTTGGGAATGCAGGACAGGGATCAGGGAATGCAGGACAGGGATTTGGGAATGCAGGACAGGGATCAGGGAATGCAGGACAGGGATCAGGGAATGCAGGACAGGGATTGGGGAATGCAGGACAGGGATCAGGGACACAGGACAGGGGTCAGGGACACAGGACAGGGATCAGGGACACAGGACAGGGGTCAGGGACACAGGACAGGGGTCAGGGACACGGGACAGGGATTTGGGAATGCAGGACAGGGATTTGGGAATGCAGGACAGGGGTCAGGGAATGCAGGACAGGGATTTGGGAATGCAGGACAGGGATCAGGGAATGCAGGACAGGGATCAGGGAATGCAGGACAGGGGTCAGGGACACAGGACATGGATTTGGGAATGCAGGACAGGGATCAGGGACACAGGACAGGGATTTGGGAATGCAGGACAGGGGTCAGGGACACAGGACATGGATTTGGGAATGCAGGACAGGGGTGTCACCTTGTGGGATCTGCGTGGCCAGGGGGGAGGAGATGGTGACGAAGTGGCGCTCTCGGCACCCGTAGTGCACCGGCATCTGCCGCCCCTTCCCCGGGTCGTTGGCGTTGCCGTAACACTGAGCCATGAACAGCTCCAGGGGGTACCCCCGGTACAGCAGCACACCTGGGGGCACACCTGGGTCACCCCTGTGCCACCTGTGTCACCCCTGTGTCACCTGTGTCACCTGTGCCACCCCTGTGTCACCTGTGTCACCCCTGTGTCACCTGTGTCACACCCCACCCCACTGGCACTGCCATAACCCTGAGCCATGAACAGCTCCAGGGGGTACCCCCGGTACAGCAGCACACCTGGGGGGCACACCTGGGTCACACCTGTGCCACCTGGGACACACCTGTGTCACCTCTGTCACCCCTGTGTCACCCCTGTGCCACACCTGTGTCACCTGTGTCACCCCTGTGTCACCCTGTGTCACCCCTGTGTCCCATTGGCACTGCCGTAACACTGAGCCATGAACAGCTCCAGGGGGTACCCCCGGTACAGCAGCACACCTGGGGGGCACACCTGGGTCACACCTGTGTCACCTGTGCCACCCCTGTGTCACCTGTGTCACCCCTGTGCCACCTGGGTCACCCCTGTGTCACCTGTGCCACCTGTGTCCCACCCCACCCCACTGGCACTGCCGTAACCCTGAGCCATGAACAGCTCCAGGGGGTACCCCCGGTACAGCAGCACACCTGGGGGCACACCTGGGTCACACCTGTGTCACCTGTGTCACCCCTGTGCCACCTGTGCCACCCCTGTGTCACCTGTGTCACCTGTGCCACCCCTGTGTCACCTGTGTCACCTGTGTCACCCCTGTGCCACCTGTGCCACCCCTGTGTCACCTGTGTCACCCCTGTGTCCCACCCCACCCCACTGGCACTGCCGTAACCCTGAGCCATGAACAGCTCCAGGGGGTACCCCCGGTACAGCAGCACACCTGGGGGCACACCTGGGTCACACCTGTGCCACCTGTGCCACCCCTGTGTCACCCCTGTGCCCCCCTGTCCCCCTGAGCCCATCTGTCCCCTGTGCCCCCCTGTGCCCCCTGAGTTCACCTGAGCCCCCCTGTGCCCCTGAGGTCACCTGTCTCACCTGTGCCCACCTGTTCCCCTGTGCCCACCTGTCTCACCTGTGCCCCCTGTGCCACCCTGTGTCACCCTGTGCCCCCTGTGCCCCTGAGTCCCCTGTGCACCCTGAGCTCACCTGTGCTCACCTGTCCCCCCTGTGCCCCTGAGGTCACCTGTCTCACCTGTGCCCACCTGTGTCCCCATGTGCCCCCTGAGCTCACCTGTGCCCCCCCTGTGCCCCTGAGCCCATCTGTCCCCCTGAGCCCCCCCGTGGCCCCTGAGCCTCACCTGTGTGCCCCCCGTACCCACCTGTGCCCCTGAGCCTCACCTGTGTGCCCCCTGTGCCCACCTGAGTGCCCCTGAGCCTCACCTGTGTGCCCCCTCTGTCCCCCCATGCCCCCTGAGCCTCACCTGTGTGCCCCCGTGCTCACCCAGCCCCTGAGCCTCACCTGTGTGCCCCCTCTGTCCCCCCATGCCCCCTGAGCCTCACCTGAGCCCCCCCCGTGCCCACCTGTGCCCCTGAGCCTCACCTGCCTCGCGGTACTGTCCGAAGACGAGGTCGGAGGGCTCGAGGGCGGCGGCGCTGCCAACGTGGGTGCCCTCCTCGCCATAGTTGGTCATGTAGAACGAGATGCGGCCCTGCAGGTGAGGGACAGGTGAGATCACTCAGGTGGGGGTGCCCAGGTGGGGGTGCCCACGTGGGTGCCCTCCTCGCCATAGTTGGTCATGTAGAACGAGATACGGCCCTGCACAGGTGAGGGACAGGTGAGATCACCCAGGTGACATCACCCAGGTGACATCACCCAGGTGGGGGTGCCCAGGTGAGATCACCCAGGTGGGGGTGCCCAGGTGGGGTGCCCACGTGGGTGCCCTCCTCGCCATAGTTGGTCATGTAGAACGAGATGCGGCCCTGCACAGGTGAGGGACAGGTGAGGGACAGGTGAGGGGACAGGTGACATCACCCAGGTGAGATCACCCAGGTGAGGGTGCCCAGGTGGGGTGCCCACGTGGGTGCCCTCCTCGCCATAGTTGGTCATGTAGAACGAGATGCGGCCCTGCACAGGTGAGGGACAGGTGAGATCACCCAGGTGACATCACCCAGGTGAGGGTGCCCAGGTGAGGGTGCCCAGGTGGGGGTGCCCAGGTGGGGGTGCCCAGGTGGGTGCCCTCCTCGCCATAGTTGGTCATGTAGAACGAGATGCGGCCCTGCACAGGTGAGGGACAGGTGAGGGACAGGTGAGAGCACCCAGGTGAGATCCCCAGGTGGGGGTGCCCAGGTGGGGGTGCCCAGGCTGGGACACCCAGGTGAAGATGCCCAGGTGAGGGTGCCCAGGTGAGATCACCCACATGAGATACCAAGGTGGGAGCACCCAGGTGGGGGTGCCCAGGTGGGAGCACCCAGATAAGATCACCTAGGTGAGGGTGCCCAGGTGGGGGTGCCCAGGTTGGGATGCCCAGGTGAAGATGCCCAGGTGAGGATGCCCAGGTAAGAGCACCCAGGTGGGGGTGCCCAGGTGGGGGTGCCCAAGGAGGGGTGCCAAGGTAAGATCACCCAGGTGTGAGTACCCAGGTGAGGGTGCCCAGGTTGGGGTGCCCAAGATGGGGTGCCCAGGTGAGGGCGCCCAGGTGAGAGCACCCAGGTGGGGGTGCCCAGGTGAGGGTGCCCAGGTGGGGGTGCCCAGGTGAGATCACCCATGTGGGGGTGCCCAGGTGAGGGTGCCCAGGTGGGGGTACCCAGGTGAGATCACCCATGTGAGGGTGCCCAGGTGAGGGTGCACAGGTGAGATACCCAGGTGAGATCACCCATGTGGGGGTGCCCAGGTGAGATCCCCCAGGTGTGGGTGCCCAGGTGTGGGTGCCCAGGTGAGATCCCCCAGGTGAGATCACCCAGGTGTGGGTGCCCAGGTGGGGGTGCCCAGGTGAGGGTGCCCAGGTGAGATCCCCCAGGTGGGGGCACCCAGGTGGGGGTGCCCAGGTTGGGATGCCCAGGTGAAGATGCCCAGGTGAGGGCGCCCAGGTGAGATGCCCAGGTGAAGATGCCCAGGTGAGGGTGCCCAGGTGACATCCCCCATGTGGGGGTGCCCAGGTGAGATCCCCCAGGTGGGGGTGCCCAGATGTGGGTGTGCCCAGGTGAGATCCCCCAGGTGAGATCCCCCAGGTGGGGGTGCCCAGGTGAGATCACCCAGGTGGAGGTGCCCAGGTGGGAGCACCCAGATAAGATCACCCACATGAGGATGCCCAGGTGGGAGCACCCAGATAAGATCACCCAGGTGAGGGTGCCCAGGTGGGGGCGCCCAGGTGAGATCCCCCAGGTGGGGGTGCCCAGGTGGGGGTGCCCAGGTGAGATCACCCATGTAGGGGTGCCCAGGTGAGGGTGTCCAAGGAGGGGTGCCAAGGTAAGAGCACCCAGGTGTGGGTGCCCAGGTGAGGGTGCCCAGGTGGGGGCGCCCAGGTGAGATCACCCAGGTGAGAGCACCCATGTGAGATCCCCCATGTAGGGGTGCCCAGGTGGGGGTGCCCAGGTGAGGGTGCCCAGGTGAGATCCCCCAGGTGAGGGTACCCAGGTGAGAGCACCCAGCTGGGGGTGCCCAGCTGGGGGTGCCCAGCTGGGGGTGCCCAGGTGGGGGTGCCCAGGTGAGATCACCCAGGTGAGATCCCCCAGGTGTGGGTGCCCAGGTGGGAGTGCCCAGATGAGGGTGCCCAGGTGAGATCCCCCAGGTGAGATCCCCCAGGTGAGATCCCCCAGGTGGGGGTGCCCAGGTGGGGGTGCCCAGGTGAGATCCCCCAGGTGAGATCCCCCAGGTGAGATCCCCCAGGTGGGGGTGCCCAGGTGGGGTGCCCAGGTGAGATCCCCCAGGTGAGATCCCCCAGGTGGGGGTGCCCAGGTGGGGGTGCCCAGGTGAGATCCCCCAGGTGAGATCACCCAGGTGGGGGTGCCCAGGTGTGGGGTGCCCAGGTGAGATCCCCCAGGTGTGGGTGCCCAGGTGTGGGTGCCCAGGTGAGATCCCCCAGGTTGGGGTGCCCAGGTGGGTGCCCAGGTGTGTGGTGCCCAGGTGTGCCCGTACCTGGCGCTGGGACTCGTAGAGGATCCTGTCCATGGTGTTGAGCAGCGTCATCGTCTGGTAGAGCTTCAGCACCTGCTCCTTGGGCAGCTGGGGGGGCAGGGGGAGGTCACCTGGGCAGGGGGCACCTGCCCTGGGTCCCACCTGCCTCAGGTGGCACCTGTCCTATGATTCACCTGTCCTATGTCTCACCTGGCCCAGGTGGCACCTGCCCTGTGCCCCACCTATCTCAGCTGGCACCTGCCCTGTGTCCCACCTGCCTCAGGTGGCACCTGTCCTATGATTCACCTGTCCTATGTCTCACCTGGCCCAGGTGGCACCTGCCCTGTGTCCCACCTGCCTCAGGTGGCACCTGCCCTGTGTCCCACCTGGCTGGCACCTGGCCCTCATTTCACCTGGCCAAGGTGGCACCTGCCCTGTGTCCCACCTGTCTGAGGTGTCCCCTGTCCGTGTCCCACCTGTCCCTGTCCCAGGTGTGTCCCAGGTGTGTCCCCTGTCCCAGGTGTGTCCCAGGTGTGTCCCAGGTGTGTCCCACCTGTCCCCAGGTGTGTCCCCCCCTCACCTGGGGGTCCTCGCTGGGCCTCAGGACGTGTCCCTGCTGATCCATGACCCACCTGTCCCTGTCCCCACCTGTCCCAGGTGTGTCCCCAGGTGTGTCCCCTGTCCCCAGGTGTGTCCCCAGGTGTGTCCCAGGTGTGTCCCCTGTCCCAGGTGTCCCCAGGTGTGTCCCCAGGTGTGTCCCAGGTGTCCCCAGGTGTGTCCCCAGGTGTGTCCCCTCTCACCTGGGGATCCTCGCTGGGCCTCAGGACGTGTCCCTGCTGATCCATGACCCACCTGTCCCTGTCCCCACCTGTCCCAGGTGTGTCCCCCCCTCACCTGGGGGTCCTCGCTGGGCCTCAGGACGTGTCCCTGCCGGTCCATGACCCACCTGTCCCTGTCCCCACCTGTCCCAGGTGTGTCCCACCTGTCCCAGGTGTGTCCCCAGGTGTGTCCCAGGTGTGTCCCCACCTGTCCCAGGTGTGTCCCCAGGTGTGTCCCCCCCTCACCTGGGGGTCCTCGCTGGGCCTCAGGACGTGTCCCTGCCGGTCCATGACCCACCTGTCCCTGTCCCCACCTGTCCCAGGTGTGTCCCCCCCTCACCTGGGGGTCCTCGCTGGGCCTCAGGACGTGTCCCTGCCAATCCATGACCCACCTGTCCCTGTCCCAGGTGTGTCCCTGTCCCAGGTGTGTCCCCCCCTCACCTGGGGGTCCTCGCTGGGCCTCAGGACGTGTCCCTGCCAATCCATGACCCACCTGTCCCTGTCCCCACCTGTCCCAGGTGTGTCCCCAGGTGTGTCCCCTGTGCCCAGCTGTGCCCCCAGGTGTGTCCCACCTGTCCCAGGTGTGTCCCCCCCTCACCTGGGGGTCCTCGCTGGGCCTCAGGACGTGTCCCTGCCGGTCCATGACGCGGTAGACGGGAATTCCCGCCAGGACGTTGGGCTGGATGAACTCCAGGTGATCCACGAACTCCGCAGAGGCCCCCGGGAACTGCGGCTTCTCCTCCGGGGAACCCAATTCCTGAGGGAAAAACGACCCTAAAAAACCCAGAAACATCCCAAAATACCCCAAAATACCTGAAAACCAGCCCAAAATACCCCAGAACAGCCCCAAAGGGGCCTCCCAGGAGCTCCTGGGATTCCAAGAGGCCCACCGAATTGCGGCTTCTCCTCCAGGAAACCCCAAATCCTGGGGGCAAAACGACCCTAAAACACCCCAAATATAGCCCAAATACCTCAACACCACCCCCAAATACCTCAAAACCGCCCCAAAACATCCCAAAATAGCCCCAAAACCAGCCCAGAAAGGGCCTCCCGGGAGCTCCAGGGATTCCAAGAGGCCCCCCGGGAATTTGGGCCCCTGGGACCCCAATTCCTGGGGGGAAAACAACCCTGAAACACCCCAAATATACCCCAAAAAAATACCCAGAACACCCAAAATATCCCAAAGTCAGGTCAAAAAGGGCCTCCTGGGACAGGGGGACAGCGGGAAGGGGGGACAGGGGGACACTGGGATGGGACAGGGGGATATGGGGACAGGATGGGGGACAGGATGGGGGACACTGGGATGGGACAGGGGGACAGGATGGGGACAGGGGGACACCGGGAAGGGGGGACAAGGGACACAGGGACAGAGGGACAGGGGGACACCGGGACAGGACAGCCGAGTGTCCCCCTCCACGTACCCCCCCATGGCCCCAAATGGCCCCTTTGTGTCCCCAATGTCCTCCCCCCGTGTCCCCCCGTGTCCCCTCCATGTCCCCCCATGGTCCCAAGTGTCCCCAAGTGTCCCCACTGTCCCCTCCGTGTCCCCAAGTGTCACTCAGTGTCCCCCATGTCCCCCGCCGTGTCACTCAGTGCCCCCAATGCCCCCCCGTGTCCCTCAGTGTCCTAATGTCTCCCCGTGTCCCCAATGTCCCTCTGTGTCCCTGGGTGTCCCCACAGTCCCCCCGTGTCCCCCAATGCCCCCCTCCTGTCCTGGGGTGTCCCCGGGTGTCACTCACTGTCCCTAAATGCCCCCCGTGTCTCCCACTGTCCCGGGGTGTCCCTCACTGTCCCTAAATGCCCCCCGTGTCTCCCACTGTCCCCGGGTGTCCGGTGTCACTCACTGTCCCTAAATGCCCCCTGTGTCTCCCACTGTCCCCGGGTGTCCCTCACTGTCCCTAAATGCCCCCCGTGTCTCCCACTGTCCCCGGGTGTCACTCACTGTCCCTAAATGCCCCCCGTGTCCCCCACTGTCCCCGGGTGTCCCTCACTGTCCCTAAATGCCCCCCGTGTCTCCCACTGTCCTGGGTGTCCCCGGGTGTCACTCACTGTCCCTAAATGCCCCCCCGTGTCTCCCACTGTCCCCGGGTGTCCCTCACTGTCCCTAAATGCCCCCCGTGTCTCCCACTGTCCCGGGTGTCCCTGAGTGTCCCCGGGTGTCACTCACTGTCCCTAAATGCCCCCCCCGTGTCTCCCACTGTCCCCGGGTGTCCCGGGGTGTCCCCGGGTGTCACTCACTGTCCCTAAATGCCCCCCCGTGTCTCCCACTGTCCCGGGGTGTCACTCACTGTCCCTAAATGCCCCCCGTGTCTCCCACTGTCCCGGGTGTCCTGGGTGTCCTGGGGTGTCACTCACTGTCCCTAAATGCCCCCCCCGTGTCTCCCACTGTCCCCGGGTGTCACCACTGTCCCCAATGCCCCCCGTGTCTCCCACTGTCCCCGGGTGTCCCTCACTGTCCCCAAATGCCCCCCGTGTCTCCCACTGTCCCCGGGTGTCCCTCACTGTCCCTAAATGCCCCCCCCGTGTCTCCCACTGTCCCCGGGTGTCCCCGAGTGTCCCCCGGTGTCCCTCACTGCCCCTAAATGCCCCCCCCCGTGTCTCCCACTGTCCCCGGGTGTCCCTCACTGCCCCTAAATGCCCCCCCCCCCCCGTGTCTCCCACTGTCCCGGGGTGTCACTCACTGCCCCTAAATGCCCCCCCCCGTGTCTCCCACTGTCCCGGGGTGTCCCGGGGTGTCCCCGGGGTGTCCCCGGTGTCACTCACGGCGCTCCCGAGGAGCCTCCTCGGCACCAGCCCCGGGAGGCGCCGCCATCGCAGCGCCCTCAGCGCCGCCATCTTGACACGGGGCGTGGCCCGCGGGGAGGGGTGGGCGCTGATTGGCCGAGAGGGACCCGCCCGGCCAGCGCCGATTGGCCAAAAAGGGGGCGGTGGGGAAAAAGGAGGGAGCTGATTGGCTGGAGGGGTGGGCGTGCCCGCGGAGGACCATAACAAGGACATTGGCGTTGCCATGGCAACCGAGAGACCGTATAGGGGAAACACGGGCTGGCCACGCCCACTGAGTGACCATATATGGACATTGGGGTTGCCATGGAAACCGAGTGACCATATAGGGGAAATACGGGATGGCCACGCCCACCGAGTGACCATATATGGACATTGGTGTTGCCATGGCAACCGAGTGACCGTATAGGGGAAACACGAGCTGGCCACGCCCACCGAGTGACCATATATGGACACTGGTGTTGAGTGACCCCATAGGGGAAACACGGGCTGGCCACGCCCACTGAGTGACCATATATGGACATTGGGGTTGCCATGGCAACCGAGTGACCATATAGGGACTGTCTGTGGTGGCCACGCCCACCGAGTGACCATATATGGACATTGGGGTTGCCATGGAAACCGAGTGACCAAGGACTCTTTGGTGGCCACGCCCACCGAGTGACCATATATGGACATTGGTGTTGCCACGGCAACCGAGTGACCGTATAGTGAATGTTTTGCCACGCCCACTGAGTGACCATACAAGGGATATTGGGGTTGCCATGGCAGCCGAGTGACCATATAGGGGACTGTCTGTGGTGGCCACTGCCCACCGAGTGACCATATAGGACATTGGGGTTGCCATGAAACCGAGTGACCATATAGGGACTGTCTG